CTTCTATCCTTTTACGTGTGCCTTCTGCAGCTGTGCAAATAGAAAGAGGATAGGTTATTCCTGTGTTACTACAATGACAAAAAGTTGAAGATACCGAGAGAGAACGTAGAGAAATTAGCATAACCTGTGGGCTACAGTCTGATAATTCTAGTCTCAGGGATTTTATGAATCTCTAATTTCTTTTTACTATTTGTTTATTTTCAAAATTTTGATAAAAGTTTTATAATAAGGAAGTAATATTTTACAGGTGAAGAATGAAGTCTGAGTGACCAGTAGCCATGATTTTCTATATTAGTAGCCTACGTACGTTGTCATACTGATTGTACTTTGTAGTAGTAAACTTATGTCTCTATTTAAATATCTATCCATCTATCATTACCCATGTACCTATCTAGAAAAGAATTTGCTCCCTAATATAGATAAAAATAGTGCTTCAGAGTTGAGTTCCTAATATATTTTCAGTACCTATACATTTTAATGACTCTGGAAACATTCATTATTATTTGAGGGAATTACAAAGTTATTTGGTATAGTTTTATTGGGACCACCACATGCTTTTCCACAGTCATTTTTTTCTCCCTCTGTTTTTTGAATAACAACTGAATGCTAGGCTGGAATTTTCATGCGATATTACATTTAACCCCTGGCAAATTTATGAATTTTGAGCAGATGTTTTAATTAGATGTTTTAATGCATGAGGAAGTCTAAGACAGTCCAGTGAACATTTCTACTGCGCTTATTTAGCAAATGCAAGTAGATTTGTGGTAATTAGTAAATACAATGCAAAACATTTAATTTGAACATTAGGGTGGTTTTCAACTGCAAACTACTCAATTCCTTCTTGCATTTTTCCTTTTAATAGGGGAGTACATATCAAATTAAACACAATTCTTTAATTTTTTGGAGGTGGGGACACCTGGTTAGAGTGAGAAAGTTTTAATACTTTTGAAGTTTTGTATAATTTTTTACACCTTTTAAAACTACATGTGAATCATATAGTACATTATATAACATAGAAACTATATTCAGACATATAATTAAAATAATGTTTATTATTTTCTGATCACAAAAGTGGTGAAGCAGATATTTGACTTTCTTGAATTTAACATTCTTTGATTTTTTTTTTTTTTCCTGGTACCAGGGATCAAACTCAGGACCTTGCTCTTTCTAGGCAGCTGAGGCACCACTGAGCTAAATCCCCAGCAAACATTCTTTAATTTTTATAAATTGCATGCTCTTCAAAAATTTTGTGACCTGTGGCAACATAACATATTTTTGAGACTCAAGTTTGAATCATGAGTTGTAAGGTAGGCATGAGTGTAAACCAGATCATTTAATATAGTTCCTCCTCGTGAATTTAGTTATATTCTCCTATGCAGTAATTTATAGAAGAAAATGTTTAAATCTTTAATTTTTGTTTATAATAAGATAATATTAAGTGATAAGTGAGATTTAAAAAGGGAAAGAATTTGTGTATTGATAGGTATAGAAACATGCTATTGCTCACACTAAAACAATTCAAATGACAGTCAAAAGTTTGTTTTATCCTTACTGACTGTCTGCAACTTCTAGAACTCACTAACCTGAAGAGTCTTTATTCTTTTCTTCTTATAAGTTTAATGTCTTTAAGGTTTAATCTTTTATAGTATTTCTTTTTTGGATTTTGTTAATATTTTCATGAAATAAATTAATAATTTTCATTAATTTTCAAATTTATGGAGTTTTATAAGATATGCTTTCATTAATAAAAAGCTTACAGAAAGCTATCTGACTTTAAATCTATTCATACTAGTAGTATTTTACTTTCTCATTAGTTTACTCCATACCCATTTACTTCATCTTATTTTTAGGTCTAAATTTATATTTTTTCATAAAAATGGTCTATCAATGTTTGTAAGTTGGTTGTAATAAAAATGTGATGATGATGATGATGATGATTTTATCCTATTGAAATAATATTAGTTATTCTAAATGTTCTGTGTAGTACTTAAATTATTTAACATTGGGTTGGGGATTTAGCTCAGTGGTTCTGCTACCTGCCTTGCAAGCTCAAGGACCCCAAGTTCATCCCTGGTACCAAAAAAAGAAAAAAATTTAACATTGTTCCAAGTGTCTTCTATGCCTGAAATCAACACCATACTCTCAGTCCTAAAACAGTGAAAATTATTCTTACAGAAAAAATGCCTAAATAAAAGAGCATTTTAGTGACAATATTCTGACATTTTTGCTTATAAGCCCTGATTATATTTCTGTTCACACTTATTTTAGCATACATATATGCATGTCATATGTGTCATAACATATGTACACATATGCATATATTCATTCACATAGAGACTACACGTGTTTTTGGTATTTTTTAAAACAAAAGTTGTTATTTGGGATTGCAGATAACAAATCAAATTATTTTGGAAGTTATTAATAGTTTCTACTACTTTTTTGTCTTTGATTAAATTAAGATATTTGGAGTATTTGTTATTGCAACAGATGCATTGCTTTTTTGTTGCCTAAAACTTTCTTATTTTTCAAAAGACCTTTAAAAGTGATTAGAGAGTTTCAGATTACATAAAGAAAAGAAAATCAAGTAACCCTCTTAGTAGAGAAAGCAAGAAGAAAATTACGAAGAAATGTTTAAATGAGATTATACACAAAGTTGAATCACCCGAGTGTGCAGAAATAAAGTAGAAGTTACAATACTATTTCAGAGAGCATTAAATCAAAACCAGTAAAATTAAAAAGAAAATGAACAGAACAAAATGTTCATCTTATAAAAATCCAGTCTCTAACCATCAAATATTTACATGAAGTAAAAATACAATGAATATCATGAAAGTTGTCATCAATAATTTATCAAGCAAAATTGCATAATCCTTAACCCTCCTCTACTTCCAAATGCCATGTGATGCTGAGCATTATCAAATGAGCCCTTTCCATCTTTGTTAGTTTTCCAAAAGATGTATTCTGATTCACAATAACCTCAAACTCAGACCCATCATATTTATTGAAATCTCAGCTTCATTACACTACATGTTTATAATTCTTACCTTTTATTTGCTGCCCATTTATTTCAACCTGTTGCTTCTCATTTCTTTTCATAAGACCAGGCCTTCTGTCAAATTTACCAGGGACAGAATTTCATACTCAGAGAGAGCTCTCTTAGTTACTGGGATACATATCTTCTAGGTGTTAAGGTTATTCAAATGCACTGGATAATGTTTCAAATGCACCCTTTATGACCAAGGAGAATCTATCCAGACTCTCATTGCAAACAGACTGGTTTGTAAACTGGTCTTAGCCTCATTCACCATTTTTTCAGTCTCTGGTATGGCCCCCATCAAGTATTTTGAAGGTTGATGGGCAAAACTCTTAGTCTCAGCCTCTCCACTGATACTTCTACTCAAGCTGTGTCAAACAGACACAGAAATGACACTCAAAATTGATTGTCATTTGTCACCATGAAAGCTCTTCCCGTTCACCACTAATCCTTATGTTTTCCCCATGGAGAGGTTTAAAGGTCACCTCAGATGTGATGCTTTGCTGGCCGTATCTTTTTGCTACTGTCCTGATGAGGTATAAGAGCACTAGAGGGGAATTAGCAGAGAAGTTTTGTTGAGTGACAAAAATGATGTAGACGTAGAGTCCGTTTGTAGGGTCTTTGTTAGATACAGTTAGATTTCTGAACTTCATCCAGAGCCAAAGGTGAGTTATTTTCATAGGATTTCAACATGAACTCATGTGATTTGCATTTTTATAGAAAGTCATGATGTGATGCTTAGGGAATGGAACTGTGAGGTTGAAGACAAAACAGAAAGAACAATTAGGAAGCTAAAGTCAGAAGTCCTGATCAAGAAATGCTAATAGATTGGACTAGGCTGATAATTGTGCACATGAATAGACGGAAATGGGGAGTACGTTTGACAGCACTGACAGGAGATAGCAATGCTGTGGATGGTTTAGTGATTGGAGAGAAAGGGGTCAAGGCTGTCTCCCGGGTTTCTCATACACAACAGGCTACGCAGAGGTGACATTTATTCATTTGGAGAACAATGGCAGGGGAATGAAGAGTAAAGGAGGAGAGCTCAGTGTTCAGTTTAGATGCATCGAGTTTGGGATTTCTGAAGACATCCACATGAGTACATTAAGTACTTGTATCTAATTCTGGAGTAAAGAAAAAATGCGCCAAAGTGAAATAATAGCAAGTAACTGGGAGATACCCTGGGTCACAGAGGTGGTTGATACTCATTAGAAGAGAATGTGGAAATTTGAAAGGAGAGGACAGTATCCAAGCCTGAAGGAATCCACTGTGTAAAATTCAAGGAGAGGGGAAGCTAGTAAAGCACACTGAGGAGAAACGGCCAAACAGGCAGAGAGAAACCTGGGGAATTCATGCCACACAGACCTGGGAGACAGTGTTCTAATAAAGCAGGACTGGTTACTCGCATGAAGTCTCACCAAGCTGGCAAATAAGGCAGAAAACTCCTTTGGGCTTGGTCATAGAAAAGTCTGTAGTAAAGGAAAGCAAACTGTGAGAGTTGGTTCTTCTCTCTGAATCTTTATATCAGTTGTTACAACCATAGGTGCAAATTATTTTATCTCCATTGTAAGTCCTGCCAAATTTAATTTCAGTAAGTTTTCTTGGCGTTCATATTCTGTACTGTGTATTGAACTGGATGAAAAGGGAAAGTGAAAAAAATTCAATCATCTAGTTCAGTTATAGTCTTCAAATTAATTCTCAACTCAGACTTGAAATAAATTTTATTGAACAATGACTGTGTGCCAAGAGCCCTGTTAGGTGCATGAGACAGAGACAAATAACTCGCAGAGCCTTGATAAATAAAATAAACCACTGCTCCCTGCTTTGATGCATCTATCAGTCACTTGGAGAAGCCACTGAGCAGCCCCGAGGGGCGCTGGGCCCTTGGAGATGACCTCACTGATGGCCGAAAGGCCCTAGGGAATGGAAACTGTGGAATGTTTTCATTTTCTTTTCCCATTTTCAGCCCTGATTGAATTCTACTGTCGCGCCTGTCAGAATGGAATCAAGTTGATGAGACAGTTTGTGCTCTACTTGTTTTCCCTTGTTTGACACCAGCTTTCAAAGACTCTTCATCCCCAGCACTGTCCAGATCTGTTCCCCTCTGTAGTTGGTAATGCTATGAGGTGCCTTTACTAAAACACAACACAACACAACCAAAAAGCAACAATAGCGGAAACAAAAGCTGTCTTTTTATTTGGGTTAAGAGGGTTGTAAAGGACCATTCGCAGATTGTCTTGACATTTCTGGCTTACAAAACATATGTGTGTGCCTGTGCTTGTGTATGTTTGCAGGTGTGAGTTTGTGTGTGTGTGCGTGTGTTTCTGGTTCCTTTCAAGTACAGGACTAATCAGACTCTGGAGGGACGCTGCATGGCCGTAACTGTGAGGACATCATCAAGGCCAAGCTTGGTTTCAAATGCAACTTCTGTCCCTAGTTCCATGGTAAGGGCCACCATCGAAATGTACACAGGAGGCGAGAACATGGAAGAAGTAAGGTGGCCTCTGACTTCTCTGCCAGTGATGTTCATGCTGGTAGAGAGGAGGAGCCCCTCCAGGCCATCACGACACATCTGTGAATGCAGGCAGATCCAATGTTGTGGGTGGCCCTGGACAGGTAGTAATGCTGCTCCGTAAGATCACGAATGTGCAACAGTATTATACTATTTTGCATGACTCAGTTGCACAGTACACATGTGCGGACTCTACAGGGGACGCAGGAGCACTGTGTTGAGGGGGGCACATCACAGTCCAGCATCCATCTCCCACCACACCCAGAAAGTCAGCGGAAACCTGAGCAATTTCAGAGCCCACACATGCTTGTGTACTTGGGCAACTAACATGCAACAATTAACAATAGGAGTATTTAACCTACCTACATGTGTACCTGCCCATGATGATAAACATGTTTTGTTATTAAGCAGACATGCCAGTTGTCTTAATTAAATTACATGTGGCCCAATAAAATCCCTATTCACTCACTGGGGCCCAGGCAAGCCAAAAGGTTGGATGGCCATAGTATGTTGTATGTAGTATAAGGTTATCAGGATTTTATTCTGTGCTGGGGAGGGAAGGGGAGAATATATATACACATATATAACAATTCTGATGAGTGAATGAATGTTACTATGGCAATTTGCAGTGTCTTCTCTGTACAGAAACATCCAGGATATTACTACTCCAGTAAGATCAAAGAGAATGTCAGCTCAAGTGTATGCTGCAGCAAAAGGAAAGAGTTGCATATAAAAAAAAAATGCCAAATTTTCAAATGATGACTATTACTTGTGTTAAATGACAACTTTAATGAACTTTGATCCTCAGAATAAATGCATTATCTGTTATTCTTTTCTAGCCCCACAATTGGAATAATTATATTCATTATATTCCAGGATACAATGAGACCATCGGATGTGATGAATCCGATCCTGGTTAGAATATTCCTGTAATGACCTAACTGTTCTCCCTTCCTCCAACCCCACCCATATCCCTTTATTAGTCTACCCACTTACTGTCACCAGTTTTAACTTCCTGTGGTCATCTGAAATCCTCTTCTTTCCAAAACTTTCATTATTTCTTCATAAATGTGGGCAGGCCAGGTTTTCATATTATTATATGCTCCTCTCTCTCAGTTGCCCTCATTTCTCCTTAGCATCTTTGGCAAATTATCCAAAACCCATCATGTTTTCCCTCCTTATCATAACCAGAAAGGGTTCCACCCTTTCCTGCTGTCTTCAGTTCCCAGTTTTTGTTACTTACATTATTAATTGATTCTAAACTGTGACACTAGTGACAGTTTAGCCACTAAACCATATAATCTTGAAGTGTTGCTTAATTTCTTTGGGTTTCATATCTATAAAATAAAGAAATTAGATTAGAGTCAAATTAATTTTGTGGGCCATATGGTCTTGAGTATTCAGTGCTGCTATTAGCAGATGTAGACAATACTTTTATGAATCCAAATGGATGTTCCATAAAATTTTATTTAGAAAAATAGGCATCAAGCCAGATTTATTTTATGAGCCAGTTAGCCAACCCTTAGAGAGTACTATAATCTGAGTTTCTTTCTAGTGCTGTGAGTTTATGAGAAATTTAAAAAGCCATTTCTATTCCCTAGCATCTATGAGCTAAATTTTCACTTAACATATCTCTTCAAAAGTTATTATCCTAGCTAATTGTCATTAGGAGTGATTTATCCTGAGAGACATATTTAGCCAAAGGGTAGAGTATACTGTATTCTTGAGGTGGCTACCATTGCTACAATTTTATAAAAGGAATGTAAAAATTAATATCTTTCTAGCATTAAAGAGTTGAAATTTTCTTTGAAACTTTCATAACATATCACCTTAGTTAACTGTTATCAGCAGTGATGGGTGGATTTGGTCTTTGCTTCTTTTCGAAATACATGTCATATGATTGTACACATTTTAACACACGTTCCATCAAAATGTAAAATGCCAAGGAATGGTTCTTTCAGTTATACAGCAGGTCATTCTGGCCAGATCATAAAATGGGTATAGCCTTTCATCAATTATCTCCATATTTCTTTTTATATGCCAAATTACGGACAATATTATCTGTGCTAGCTTTGTGCTTCTGGATATATTAGGGTATGGCAGGATATGGAATATTGTAGGAACTCTAGAGTGTTGGTTGGATGATAAACTAATATTTAGATGTTACATATTCATTTATTATATATTCATGCAAAAATTATGTTTCAGAAATCTCCATGTACTTCCTAAGCCTATGATGAAACTTGTAACTTCTTGGAAAAACATAACAATAAAAGTGCTTGATTTTAATGAACCCAGGCTTGATTTATATATTGCTTAAGTGCGAAATGAAGCAGGAGGAGGGCAGGAAATGTTCACATTTCATTTTCTTTGCCACGATGTCTATTTTTATTCATCTTAAGTCTCAGATTACTTAGTGCTTTCTGATAGCTCCTTATTGTATTCAGCATTTCCACACTAGGTTCTTAAGCATCTCTGGCAGAATATGCAGAAAGAAATAAGAGCAGATATATCTTTGCCTCATTTTTACTGTAGTTATTTGTCAAGTCCTTATGTGAAGGGGCCGGAGACTATCTGCAGTCTTACCTCCAAAAGCAAAATCTTATATCTTGCATGCTTATGCTTATGACAGAGTCTCTTTTGTTAACTCTCCTTGGTCCTTAGGTGTCCTACCCTCCAGTAGTCCTGAGATATCATGTAAGGTAAGGTTCACGTGCAGTACCACTGTCAGTAGAAGGAACCCAAGACAAAGCAGTTCTGTGGTTGCTGTCTCAGGCAATGGTAAAGCAACCCTATCATCAGGAGCAGGTTTCTTTGTAATAGAAAGTGCCTGTCAAGTAATGCATGTGTGATGGGCCTCTGCATGCAACCTTGAAGTCCTGGAGTAGACTTTGACTCTCCCCTTTCTGTCTTCCTACACTGTCCAACAAATCCCACCACTTCTTACCTCCAGTAGCTCTCAAATTGTCATTTCTATTCATCCCCACCGCAGTGGTACTTCATCGACAGGCTCCAAAATATCTATTTACAGTCAACTGTTGGATAGCCACCATCCCTAAGTGGGGCTACATTTGTGAAAGAGTGGAAGCTCTTCCATTCATATCCGGCATGCCCTTATTTATTTATTTATTTATTATTTATTGATAGAAGTACAACATTCCTTTTTTGTTCTGTGTACCCCACCTGGAGCCTGCCCCACATGAGCACCAGTGTTCTTTCTGAGTTAATCTGGATCATAGAGTCATCAACATTGTGACTGCCATGCTTGGTGGCCACTGTGCTGTTTACAACCAGAGTCATACTGCAACTCTAACTTCATTTCTGCTACTCCTATGGCTGTGCCATGCAGGACTGAGGCTGTGCTTAGGACAGAGGGGGGTTTTCAGGGCTCTCCTGTGACTTTGCACTTGCATATTGCTTCTCAAGTTCTGTGCACCTGTTTCAACCCGCTGCCATATCTCTGTTGCCTAGGATGGCTTTTGCTATTCTAGGTCTCTTCTGATTCCAAATGAATTTTTGGATTATTTTTTCTAGTTCTGTGAAATATAGTGTTGGAATTTCAATTGGCATTGCATTGAATCTGTATAGCAGTTATGGTAGTATGGCCATTTTCACTATATTGATTCTTCCTACCCAGGAGCAGGGGATATCTTTCTTTTTCTTAGATCCTAATGAGATAATTGACAATGTGAAAAAGGAAGAAAAGGGCTAAAGGTGTAGGGGAAGTGGGAAGGGTAGGAGAAAGGTAATAAGGGAAAGAAAAAATAGGAGAAAATGGAAATAAAATATTTGCAAAGGGAGAGGAGAGGAGGGGGAGAAGGGAGGGCAGGGACAAGGGGAAAAAATGAGAAGCAAGAGCTGTCATGTAAAGGTACAAGATCCCAATGATGAATGTAACTGTACTGTGTACCTAAAATGTACCAATAAACTCAATAAGGAAAAAAAGTCAGCCAGGACCTTCCAAGGTTGGGAATCTACTATACAACGAGGGTTTGGAAACAATCCCTACTGAGTAAGTTTCTAAACCGCCTGATAAATTATTTGTAAATGGCCTTTAAAATGAAGAGGTATACGTAAAGGGAAGTAAAGTGTAAATAGTTGTGTTTACAGCAAATATGAATTTAATAAAAATTGTCATGTCAGAGCAATCAGAGGACACTTGTGAAATAACACACATATTCCTAGTATTTTCAGCTGTTAGCATAATGGTAACCCTAAGTTCAATAACATGGTTCAGGAAAAATGCATCTATTAGGAAAAAATATCTTTGCAAGTCAAGAAGAGATTATTTTTTCCAATGAAAAAACCTTGTTTGAATGAAGGTTTTAACCGCACGGAATCCCTGAGAGAGGAATGGAAATCAGCTGGGACAAGTGCTTCTCCGTCCAGTCCCATGGATGCTCACTGTCCACCTCAGAAGCTGTGTAAAGATGGTCAAAAAGAGAACAGGCATTAGAGCGCTGGAGCGCCAATGTGAAATTGTGCGATGAATGAATGGGTCTTGCTTGTTGGTTGAGTCTCGAGTGAAAGAGGTGAACTGAATAGCTTCGGTAGTGATGCAACATTTTTTCTAGTATTTTCTTTCCACTTCAATTTTGTGTAAAGGTTAATGGACTTCACTTAAAATTTTCTTCCAGAATCATCTCAGTCTTAAGTGGCCTTACTTTCCTTTCCCTCTCATACTTCTGGTTGATGACTTTAATTAATTGCTTTTTTTAAATCCATTTGGAGAAGATTTACAATAGGCTGAATACTGGCATTCTCCCTGCAATTGAAAATGACTGGTGTTTTAAATAAGCATGTTAAAGTTATAATGAAAAAGCTTCTTAAAAAGAAATTTCCAAAACTCCAAAAAGTTGGGAGGTTTGTAACATAAGAATTATTGCTGTTTTTTATGTCATTAAAATATTGCTTTGATAATCCAATAAAAATACACGAACACAGTGAAAAATATCAGCAAGTGAGCAACAGTAAAAGTCCTAATTCATATTTTTAAAGAATCTTCAAACTAAGGAAATTTATTTCACTCTTTAGTGTATTTAATAAGCACTTTGTCACAGGTGATTCCCATTCCTATCTCAGCGATTCCGTGCGGTTAAAACCTTCATTCAAACAAGGTTTTTCATTGGAAAAAATAATCTCTTCCTGATTTGCAAAGACATTTTTTCCTAATAGATGCGTTTTTCCTGAACCATGTTATTGAACATAGGGTTACCATTATGCTAACAGCTGAAAATACTAGAAAAGTTATGCATATACATCATAAAATGCCTCTTACTTTTATGAGGAAACTTAGTTTCCTCAGCGTTATCTCTGGCTGCGCACTGGTAATGGAATTCAGAGGTGATGTTACTAGTAAAATCCAATCCCAGTGTAGTTCTTCATCCGCCCAAAGCTGTCTCACTATTTCTGACTGTCTGTACAGTGTCTCAAAGAGCTTGTTAATAAATGCAGTGCTCATTTCATGGTACTTTCTTTCTTGTTTTTTTTTTTTTTTTAGTGCTTTGTCCTTCCTGCCCCACTCAATGCCACTTCTCCAGCCAGTCTTTACTTTTTGAGACAGTGTCTCACCAAGTCATTGAGTTGCCTGCACTGGATTTGAACTTGTAGCCTCCTTCTCAGCCTCCCAAGTGCTGGGGCGATAGGTGTGTGCCTCCGCACACTTCTTGACTGAGAGCTTATTCTTAGAATCCTTCAGAGTAGCTTAGACGGGGCAACCTACAACTTCGCACTCTAACTGTTGATCTCAGATAGGGGGTCTATGTCCAGCTTGTATAATCTCATGAGCGTTAAATGTCTTTGAATTAATCTTGCATTTTATGTAAACAGGTAACATAATGGTGAGTCAGACCACCTAAAATATAAGTATGTAAGACATTCTGAAATTTCTATGACAGCCGTTATAAATGAAAAAAAAAAGTGATTGGAGATTTCAAGAGTGAGCTACTACTCTAAAGCAGGGAATGGAATGGCCTTTGCCCATTAAGGGGCTTTTACAATTGGTAAATTTCATAAATGGTGATGACCTTTCTTGTTTCAAAAGATGCAAATGCAATTATAAAACTACAAATTATTTTTGAAAATTGAACCAATCTTAACTTATATACTAAACTGCACAGAATGTTCAGAACACTGTACTGTGTTTGAGAGCAGACAACAAAAACACGGGAATCGGTGAAGTGACCCCTCCCCACAGCACGACTCAGGAGTGAGAGAAGGTAAAGTTGTTCTTCAGAGGTTTCCTGTTCGCCACATAACTTTTTGTCCCTCACCATCAGGACACAGGCTCCAAGTGCAGTATGAATATTCAGATAACAGGACCACAAACTTGCCACTTTTAGCCAACACCTTTCTTCTATAATACTGTTATTCCATTCTGTACCCCGTTAAAACAGCCTTCTGCAAACTGAAATGTTGGAAAATATTTTAGCAACAAATTTAAATCTCTATTAGGAGTGTTTGAACTACAATGGCATGGCTTATATAAAGGAGCTGTAATGGTGGGACTTGGGGTAATCAAGAGAGGCGGATGGGGAGA